ATCCATTTTATAAGGGAGTATTTAAAACATACTATTTTATATACTCTGTTTTATAAGAAATCTAAACATCAACTTGTTGATTGCAAAACAATACGTTTTTTCTTCTTTTTCATTTGATTTTTCCAGAGTCTAAGTTGAAGTTAATGTTAGTTACATTGCAGGGAATATATTTCATAAAGTTTATGAAAAAAATCAATTACTAAAGAGGAACTAAAAGCAAAAAGCATTAATTACCAAATCACTTATCTTGGAAACAACAAACAATTTGTCAACCTTACATTGGCAATATTTGACGAAACAACTGCAGCTGTAATAGTTGTTTTCTTGAAAGAAACAATGCAGCACAATTTTTATTATTGTTCTATGAGCTATTTATCACACTTAGTTCAAAGCAGAAACTCAATACACCCAATCAACTCAGCAATGCTGATGTGAAAGGTGATAAGAAACCTAAACTTTATAGAGAAATTACAAATTGTATTGAAATTTGGTCAAAATGTAAAATAATTTTACATCAACCAAACAAACTTCTCATGATCTAATTACAATAAGCAAATTTCTCATAAAGGATTCGCTTGAAGATTAAGATAATGATTTTTTTGTTTTAATATCTTTGCTTCCAAAAAGGCTGCAAGCAACCACTATTAGAGTTGAAAGTTACTGGAAGAGAAAAGATGAAGTTGATAGAGCAAGATAACAGTTGACAGATGACTTAAAAGACGAAAATTATATGAATCAGGAAAGCGATGAAGGAAGCAAATTCAAAAGAACTGATGTTCAAGGAAAAAAGTTAGACAAATACAAGTTTTTGAAGCACTTAGAAACAGTCACAGAAATAGGATGAAACTTTATTAAATGACAAGAATGAATTTTAGTAGACACAAGAGATGCTAGCTCTTTAAAGCAGTGCGCATAATAGTATTTGTAGAAAAGAGAAAGATAAGCAACATTATGACGATGTGATAATGGTTGGAGGTTGGCTGCAAGAGCATGTTCAACTATGTTTACAATGCATTTTTGCACCTTGTCTAAAAGAGAAAGGGCATCATAGGAAGATCGGCCCCCAATATAGCATCAGTATTCCAGACAAAGATGGATTTGAGATTTATAGAGATAAAGAATAAAATCTTGAGTAAGAGAGTGTTGAGCACAATAATCCATTACAAATTTTGTAATGGATTTGATATATGGTTTCCAAGAAAGGTCAGAAGAAAGAGTGAATCCTAGAAGATGAAGGGTATATGACTCATCGAGAACATTAGCATTTATAGAAAAAAGTTAAAGGAGAAAACCAGCATGCCAAACATTATCAAAAGCTTTAGAAATGTCAAAAGCAATAGCCTTAACCTCTATCTAATTCACAATAAAACCTACCAGTTATTACTGAAAGCAGATCAGCTGTAGAACGAGAAGATCAAAATCCATATTGATGATCAGAAAGTAAGTTATTATATTCAAGATAAGAGATTAAATGTTTGTTAATTAAAGCTTTAAATTTTTGTTAAAAAAAAACCTTGCCTAGAAGTCTAATTGGACAGTAGTTAGATGACAGTAGTTAGATGAGTTAGATCGCTCTCCAGAGTTTTTGAAAATATTGATACTTAAAAATTCTCAAGAAGTCACAAGATTTTGAGATGAAATATGATCTGAGCAAAGGGGACTTTGGTTTTATATATCTATATCTATATCTATATATCTATATCTATATCTATATATATATATATATATATATATATATATATATATATATATATATATATATATATATATATATATATATATATATATCTATATATCTATATATCTATATATATATCTATATATCTATATCTATATCTATATCTATATCTATATATATATATATATATATATATATATATATATATATATATATATATATATATATATATATATATATATATATATATATATATATATATATATATATATATATATATATATATATATATATATATATAGATATATATATATATATATATATATATATATATATATATATATATATATATATATATATTTATATATATATTCTTATTTATATATTCTTATACATACATATATATATATATCCTTATATATATATCTTTATATATATATATACTTATATATATACAAATATACATATATATATATATATATATATATATATATATATATATATATATATATATATATATATATATATATATATATATATATATATATATATATATATATATATATATATATATATATATATATATAAATATATATATATATATATATATATAAATATATATATATATATATATATATATAAATATATATAAATATATATATATATATATATATATATATATATATATATATATATATATATATATATATATATATATATATATAAATATATATAAATATATATATATATATATATATATATATATATATATATATATATATATATATATAAATATATATATACACATATACATACATACGAAGACCCCAGCGGAAAAACCAGCGTTGTCACATTTCTTTTATTTTGAGAAAATGAATTTTTAAAGTTTAAATTATTCTTTAAAATTTTATTTATATAGTATTTAGTTTTATGTAAAAATATATAGATTAACTACATTTATATCAGATTATTTATTAAAAAATTAAAAATAAATATTTTTTCAATGTTTTTTTCGGAAACTAAAGTTCATTATCAATAAATTGACACCAATGACTTTTTGCTTGGAATTTTAAAGTGGCGTAAATACTATTTTTAGCCCTTCTTTTTTGTTTAAAAACAAAACAATATCTAATAAATGGGCTCTTAATGATGTAAGAGGCCTCAAAAGACAGTTGATCCTGCTGTTTATTTAGCTAGTTTCTTTTTGTTATCCCGCTGAAACATCTATGGGAAGCCATTACATTTTGTTATCATCTAGAAAAAAAGTTCCTCAAAAGTATATTATGTTGGGTTTCAAAAGAAGTGAAATTTCATAACATTTTCAAAAATAATAATCATTTTATATAAAAATTACTAGTTAATAAAAATTCAATTGTTAATAAAAATTCTATGGTTTAAAAACTATCATTTTTTAAAAAAATTAAAAGTACATATTTAAAAAAAAATTTTTTAATAAACTTTTTTAATTTGTGTTTTTATAAATTGTTTTTATTATATTTTAAATTTCTATAAAATTTCACTTCTTTTGAGACCAAACATAATATATTTTTGAGGAACTTTTTTTCTTGATAATATTAGGGGCCTGTCTGATGTTTTGGAGACTATTGCTACCCCTAAAAAATTTTTAACTCCAGTATTATGTTATTATATAGAACACATTTAGGGTTGTGGAGTCTGCATTTTAAATAATGTGTAAAATTTGGACCACCCTAATATATATATATATATATATATATATATATATATATATATATATATATATATATATATATATATATATATATATATATATATATATATATATATATATATATATATATAGTTTAGTTCATAACTTAAAATATTATAAATAGTGTCTTTAACTATTTACTAACAAATTGTAGCAACTGATTTTCTTATTGATTCGATTCTAGCTTTTGTAATTCTGAAAAAAGACATTGTAGCTTTTGCAGATTGGTACTTCGATAGACTCAAGCTCTTTGCATCCTTACACAATAAGAATATGAAAAGTTCTGTAAGTAAGTTTTATCTGCTTTTTGTCGTGGTCTTCTTTGGTTAATTTTTAAACTTTTATTAGTGTGGATAAGTACACCTCCTGATTATTTTTAGATAAATATTCAATAAAGTTCTTAATTAGTTCATTCCTTTCCTCACTAATATTTTTAAAACATGCAAGTCAAATATAACTACAGTCTGCCCCAATAATTTGGCTCGATAAATTGTGTATTTTTTTCTATTTTTGGAATTAATATTATTCTTTCTTTTTCTTGATTTTTCTGTAACCACCGGACTATCATTACAAGCCATTTTATTTTTTGTTTACTTTTTTCGGGGTTTTTTATTCAACCAATACTTATGGTATTAAGGAATCACATGGTATTGTAAACTATAAAAGCTTCGGACAACGCAGATTTTTCCAAATGTAACCCTGGACATCACTGACTGTTCCATTTGGTTATGATTAATTTTATCCTTTTTTTATGGACTGGACTGGTATTTATACTTGGTTGTTAAAATAAAATATGAAATAAAATATGATTGTTTGAAAAATAATAAAAATTCTTTTCCACTGAGGTCTTCATATATATACATACATATAATATATATTTATATTATATATGTATAATATATATACATACACACACATAAATATATATATATATATATATATATATATATATATATATATATATATATATATATATATATATATATATATATATATATATATATATATATTATAGATTTCTTACATTTCATGCCTTAGTAAATTTTTTATCACTTTAAGCAGTTATTTGCATTTGGGCAACAGTTAAAAATGCAACAATTAGCTATAGGAAAATTCACATGCAAATGTACATACAAAAACTATAGGAAAAATTAAATGCATGATTGACCAATAAATTTTAATCACTCGCTGCTCTAGACATTTTCAAGGATTTCCTTTATTAGGTACAAAATGGACCCCATTTTCTTTATAATAAATAAATAATAATTTTATAATAAAGGATTTTAAAGAAAATTTTTAGAGATTTTATTCTGATTTGTTAACTTATTTTTATCCAATAACAATGACAAACAATAATTATAATCATTACAATTGCAACCAAACAGCACATTAGCTTCCATTTGCAATCAAACAACACATTAGCTTCCATTTGCAATCAAACAACACATTAGCTTCCATTTTCAAAAAAAATTTGTTAAGTAGTATTTAAGTAACTTACGACTAAAGGGTGTTGAATTTGATTGTGTTTAACTGATAAAATGTCTTTTTTTTAATTTAATTTACAATTTTTTATAAATTAAACATAATAAACACCTGTTAACTGCACATACTCTTGGAATAACCTTTGCAAGTTTCATTAATGATTCCCAACATGGATACTCATCATCTGATGATAGTGCTGCAACGTAACTATAGGTTCTAACATCACCCTAAAATAAAACTTTGTTTAAAATTAATTTTCAATTATTAAAACAAAATGTTTGAAAAATAAAAGACATACTTGAACACCAACTGTTTTTATTGGCAATAAAATAGATGAAAATGAACATCGAGAACTAACTTCCTTCAACATTTCAATGTCAACAAGGGGTAAACCATTTAGAATTCGGTTCAACAAAGGATGAGGCTTAAATAAAGATTAAGATTGAAAAAAATAAGATAAAAAAACAAAAATTAAAAGAAATCTTTATTGGAAAAAAAAAACTTTATAAATTAATTTATTATTATCAGAATATTTCAATCAAATTCCGCCTTGGGGTTAAGATTAATAAAAAAAAATTTATAGAACATGACGATTAATCCTAGATCTTCTAAATCATCTTCTAGTCAAAGGGTTCACTTTAAGTTTTTCTTAAAGTGAAAGTGTTCTTTGTGAATGGCTGTTCAGTTCTTTATGTTATATCCTAATTCGATAGATACCGGCAGTAAAGTTATTTTTAATTTTTAAAAAAGTTATATATAATTCAATGCCACCCAGCAGTTTTCTAAACTCTATAGCTGCTCTCAAAAAATCAACACTTGTAAAATATAGGAATTTTAATGGTAACATGTTGCACATAATTGGTTTCTCAGTGCTTCTGGTATGCATCTGCCTTTGTTTTGAATTAACTAACTTTTGTGTTAACTAACATTAGATTTGCAATATTTAATATTTATTATGCAAAATATTACTTATGTTTGAGTTTTAATACCATACATTAATAATGAATTTTTTAATACTATACATTAATAATAATCAATTATATATAAACATAAAAAATCATCACTACAACTAAATTTCAAAAACATTTTTAGTATTCATGATCTTGGATTTTTTAAAGTACTTTTTAAAATACACCCAACTTTCTCTTTGTGAAACTACTTTTTTTTTCTTTATTTAATTTAAGTTTGTACTTTGAATCTTTGTTTTCATAGTTATATAACAACTTGTTGGAACACTTTATTTGTTGGCATCTCTAATACACTTTTTAATTAATTAATGAAAATTTTATAATGAAAAGTGGTAAATATTTTAAAAATAAATCGTTAAAAAAAAAAAAAAAGTTAACATTTTTTGTTGTGACATAAAAATTTGAAATTTGAAAATTTTTGCATTATATTATTCATTTTATTATGTGGTATACATAATCTAACTATATGTGTATTATTTTTATCTAATATATTTATATATTATACACAATGTTATTATCTATTTATAAATTTAGGTAAACATTTAATATTATTTCATCATAATTGTATATATATAATACAAAACTAAAAACATTTAGCTCAAAAAAAAAAAAAAAAACATTTGGAAAATACAACAGCTTTTTTAAAACAGTTAATACATAAGGAAACAGGATATAATGCTCAATTGAAAAACTCATAAATGTGCTACACTGGGTTATTTATGTAAAAGTTCTCTTTTAAAGTGAATAAAAAAAAACTTACTTTTTTAAGAGCATTTGAAAAATTAACAGTAAAATTTAAAATATTGTTGATCTCTGAAAAGTTTTTACACATAAAAGTTTCTTCAGCACATAGTACTCTGATAGCTAGACCAGGACCTGGAAAGGGATGTCGATTAACTAGTGCATGAGGCACTCCGAGCTGTCGACCCAACGCACGCACTTCATCCTTATGAAAATCCTTTAGCGGCTCGACAATACGACCCTATAAAAAATGAAAAAAAAACCTCTACATTAAAAAATAATTTCAAATTACAACATTTATTGACAGTATAAAAAGTAATTAAAAAAAAAACATGCTTTCTCTCTGAGTTGTCTGACCATGTTGGTATCATTATGATGAGTTTTAATTGTGCAAGCATTACCACTTGCCAAATGTGATGCACTTTCAATTAAATCTGGTCTCAAAGTCCCTATAAATAAGATTAAATTACACTGACTGCTGCCTAAAAATATCATCAATAAAAAGCTGCAAAAAAACAGGTACAACAGGTTATTTTAATTGACATTCTGATTGCTGATGTTCTTTACTGAAGATGAAAAACAACTTTCAAGTAATAGAGAAAATATTAGGTTTTTGAAATTTATTGACTAAAAAGATCATTAAATGAACTCCCAATTCAATTGTGATAGGTTAAGTTTGATCAGCAAAAATCTATAATAATACATTATTAATGTCATGATGTCCTTTTTTTCTAAATTTTTTTTTGTAATATAATATTGCACACAATGTTACAAAATATTTCATAAAATTTGTTTTGGTTTTTATTATTTATTAAATGTGCTATTTTTCATTTGCAATTTTTTTCACTCCTCCACTAACTCATTTTAATGTAGAACACTTGTGGAGAGAACATATTTTAAAAACCATTATGTTAATCTTAGTGTTTAATTATCTCAGTAAAATATCATAAAATTAATGAAAAAAAGAGTTTTAAAAAAATATATAAAGATTTAGTAGATAAAAACAATATGGTTGTAATTTTAATACTTAATTTTTAAACTAATTATTTAATCATGTTAAAATCTTTTTTTTAAAAAAGAAAAAAATTAATCTTAAGAGATTAAAGATATCTTTTACTTTATTTTAATTCTTGTCATTTATTTGCATGTGACAAAAAAAAAAATAGATAATCTGAAAGAGAGTAAAACTTAAAAATATCAAATAGAACAATTATAACAATGTCTTAATAATTAGAACTACAATATAATTTTATTATTTATGATTATAATTGCAATTTTTATTGTATTTAGTTATTACTATAATTGTCTCTAACTTCAGGCGCAGGTACAGCTTTTTTAGATGTTTGAACTAACTTTCAGTCATGGAGCAAACTTCAAGCATTTGTTTTGTTTGTTAGGTTTATACTTATGTCAAATAAGGATGCCTTGCAAAAAATTGTTGGAGCCTGGGAACAAAAAAACCCTAAAATCTTAGCTACACCTGCCCCAAATGTGAGAACAACAACTTAATTAAATAGTTTTTATACTTTTCTCAAATAAATTTATATTCATCAATAAATTTTAAAATTCATACAATAATCTTTTAGCATTCAAAAACATCCACAAAAAATTTGAATCCCCTCAATTTTAGGGAGTTGCAAATTTAATAAAGCCATAATTGTTGAACGCTAAGAGATTATTTTACAAAAACAGAAATTTATCTATAATTAAAATAAAATAAATCGATAATAAACTTGGTTGAGAATAGTAATAAAAATTTTATCAACTTGTTGCTCTCACATTTTGGTAGGTAAATCATAGCATATACTTTTACCATAATTTAACTGTGTTATCTATTACTAAACTTTATTTTCTCAAACTGTTTGCTTGAACCTCTTAAAATTTTTGTAGTAGATAAAACTCCCTGGTTGAAATTGTATTGATAGTGATTGCAGCATTAAGTGGGTTGCTAATGACAGCAACTCAATAAAGCAACCAAAAAATGTTTTTATCTACGCTATGGAAACAGTTCTTTACCATTAAATTCATACTCAATGAAAATTGGTACACCTATTGAATCTATTAATTCAATTCAAGATATCGGTATAGTTGTATCTTCGGATATGAAATAATCACTGTTCTTTCATTGCAAACAAGGCACATTCTCGTTCATACGTACTTTTAAAATCCATCATCAGTAACAATTTCAAGCTTCTGATCAAAGCCTATAAAGTTTATGTTTGACCTATCATAGAATCAAGATGTCATGCCCAAAAACCTTATTCACATATTATATGTAAAAGTGATACACAAAGATTTTTCTACTGAGAAAGAATTATCAAGATATGAAACTCTTTACCTGTTTACTGTTTACTTGTCCACTTTGTCTTTGTTCAAATCAAATTTAAAAAAGTACAATGTTCATCACCATTGCATACTATTTTAACTTGTTGTTGTTGTTTTTTTCTTGTTTTTTTTTTCGGTGTTACATAAGAGTAATTTTGATATTACTTGTATCATCTTTTTGTATTGATATTACCTGTATCATCTTATTTTTAAATGCAAATAAATACGAAAAAAATAAATAAAAAAATAAAAGATGAAGTATCCATATATAAGTTTACTACTGAAATAATAAATGACGAAGAACTCATATACAATCTGTTAGGGAAGAAATTTTTGAGACTAAACATAATGATGATAGCAATGTAAACTTTTAAATCAAGCTAACATTATATCAATTGATTATCTATGCCAAGACCTAGAGGTACCACAATGCTACATGATATCTAGTGACAAGGAGTAGCGTATTTATAAATGTATCAAAAAAGCAAACTCAATTGTAGAATTAATTATCTGAAATCTAAAAAAGCTGATATACATAAAGTTTAAAGCCACACTTAGGACATGCCACTTGCTGGTTACAGCAGATGACTACAAGATGAGTAACTTGGTCAATTAGCTTTAGACTAATTAAAAAGGTTGTTAGAAAGATAAAACTTTATTTTTTATTAGAATAAAAACCAAAAATGCTTAAATACTCTTTTGCCAACATTGCTAAGATGGTAATTTTGCCACTAAGTGTGGATACTTGGTATGGTGATTTTGCCAAAATAATAAACAAGTCATTATCTGTCATTTATGAATAATAAATTATTTTTAATTCAAATTGTGAATTTTTTTTCTAAAGAAAAAATACTTTTCTTTATCTCTCGAAGTTGTCACTTAGCACTAAAACCTGATTTTTCTTTATCCTTTTCTGATATAAATAAAATCAAATAAACAAATTTATTAAAATAAACAACTAACTTATAGCAATAAGAAAAAAAATCATTAAATAATACTTAATGGCTATTAAGATTAACTAAGAGAAAAAAAAAAAGCTGACTGAGATAGTAGTTCAAATTGATAGTATTTGTTATTGATATTATTAATAGTTGTTATTGATGCTATTAACTGTTGTTGTCAATGTTATTAATAGTTGTTATTGATGTTATCAATTGTTATTATTGATGTTATTATTCTAAATATAAATAGCGCAATGAATATTATTATTATTATTATTAGTGTCGTTTCACTTTCATTTTTAAGGTAGTTTTTAGGCTTTTCTATAAGCGGTTATATATTCCACGCAATCTTTCGAGCAAGGTCTTCAAGCAAATTAGAGCTGTTATTTATTTTTAGTTTAAGAAGAATTAATGTTGTACATTGTTAAAAAACTAAAATAAAAATTTAAATAATTGTTTGTTTGTTGTTGGTTGTTATTATTTTTTCAATTTTTATTGCCTTTTTTCATTTTCAGAAGAAGTTAGAACTAAAATGACTGGTAAAATAGTTTTTTTTAGTGCAATATTTCTTTTTAAGTAAATTGCTTCAGTTTTGTAGTTAGTCTTTTTAAAACATTTTAAGCAGTATTGTTTAATTTTTTAAGTTAAGAGAAGCTGATGGCTTTTTTAGTAAGTTCAATTCATTTTCTTTTTGATAGATTATGATTATTTTTTGTAAAAAGAATTATGAGAATAAAATTTTATTTATGTATTTAATATGAAAAGTTAAATAAAAAAAGTTATTTATGGTCATGTAAGTTTATATACATAAGTTTGCATTTATTTCAGTCTATTTTATATTACTCTATATCTATATGCATATTTTCTCTTCGGAAAAATAATTAAGAATAGGAAAATTAAAAAAAATCTTTCTAGAATTTGTCAAAGGAACGTTGTGTTAGGCTTCATTTTAAGGTATCTGAATATTTATTTATTAGAAATTTTGAATTTTGTTTTTAAATGGTTTTGTCTTTTAGATAAATATACACTGACTGACATAAATTCATTTTCAATGTTGCGCATTTTTGTAGTCTGCATTCTTTGTTACATTAAAAATAATTGATACTAATAAATGTTTTTTTATAGTTGTTAAAAGTTTGCATATATGTTTATATTATGCTTAAAGTTAAAAAGTTTTTGATAAATACGTGTATTGTGATATATGTTATATAGTTTTTTTTATAGATGTGTTTATATAAATGTGTTTTTATAATGATTGTTAAATGAGGTGTTTTTATATGTTATATAACATTAAAAAATATATTGTATTTTATAGTTAGTAAAAATGTTTATATAATGTTGTTTCCATCATTTCAAAGTGGTGCGACTTGGCAAACGTGTAGAGCAAAATTTGTCAACCTTACCAGTCAAGTGGTGTTATTGCTTTAGGTCTAAGTGTTGTCTACCCTTCAATAAAACTATTCTGAAAATACATAACATTATCTTGATAATGTTATGTATTTTGACCTTTGGCTTTTTATGTTGGTGTCTGTTGTCAAAACTAATTAATAGGTAGTTTCATTACTAGAACTCACAGCTTTTATTTCTTAATATAAATAGCACAGTGAATATTATTATAATTAGTGCGCATAGTTACGCCTATTGTTTGATATTAGTTATGGTTCTGTATTTTGTAAATTACACTATTTCTGAGTTTTTAAGTGTTTCTAGACTTTTCTTAACCAAGTGTTTTCTTAAAGAAGTCATGACCTTTCATGGTACAAGTTCAAAATATTTAAGTAGACATTAAGTAGATAATGTTTTGCAGCTTAAAATTATAGGTAATATAAAATCTTTTTAAAATTTTATTAAGTAACTAATTTATTGTAATCTCTTTTTAAATTGTACTTTTAAACTTAAAGTTTCGTGTTATAGATGTTAATATTGAAAATATAGATTACTATAATTCTTAGATGGTGTCTAGAGTTAAAAGAAATTTATGAGTAGTTTCATGCTTTCACATGCTTTTAATAAATGGGATAAAAGCCATGACAACATTTTTTGTTATAAATAAAATTTATCTTTTATTATCTTTAGTATTGTTAATACTTTAGCTCTTTGAAAAAAATTATGTTTCTGGCTTTTCAATAAATGTATAATAATTTCTCTTGCATGAATGAATTTTGGTTTAGGATATAATTGTG